CCACAAAAATCCACAATTAAGTTGTATACCAATGTGTTTGACTGGCTTTTAAGGTAATAAATGTGTAATTTTTTTTTGCAGAAATTTGCAGATGTGCCTAAAATCGTAAAAATTCTAACACCGTCTTTACTTTTTCAGGGTCAGTTTTGCACTACAAAAATTTGTTTTCGCTCGTGTGCTTGTTGTGCTGTTCTTCGTCTTGCTCTGTCTTCGTCTTTTGAGTTTGTGTTTATTAACCGTTTTTCATTTATTGATTTATTTTTTCTTTTATTTCTTTTTTCTTTTTGTTTATTCCCTTGCTTAAAAATTGAATAGGTTTTTCTTATAAGTGTTTATTCTCACGATTATATGTTTTTAATGTATGGGGCAGCGAAGTGGGTAGCGCCGTCGAAAGGCGAACAAAATTGATTGAAGGTATAGAAGCGAATATTATAAAAAACGGCTATATTGTTGACAAGAGTGAAGTAAAATAAATATATATAAAAAATATTAGCCTGATCTGACCATAAAAAGTGATTTTAGGACTGCACTGATCCAATCGTTCCTATGGAAGCTATAGGATATAGTGGTACGATCCGGTCAATTTTTTTATATTGTATTTATAATATTTTTATAGATTTTTTGTGAAAGTTTCATAGCGATAGCACAACTAGAAGTATTTATGGCCGCGGTTCCATACAAGCCCGACCACTGTGCGACGCAGCGACAAACAGACACTTGTGCCGCCCCCTTTTTCACCTCCTTTTCCCTACGATTTCCACCTCCTCCGCCCCCTTTTTCCAACCATAACCCCACAACTTTTTTTTGCTATCGTCTGCTGCTTTGCTATTTCTCTTTTTTCACTACTCTTTTCACGCTGCTGCTGCTGCAGTCGCTGATGTTGCTGTTGTTGCTGCTCCTGCGATGTTGCTGCTGCGCTGGCTACATAATTGATTTTAGTGCTGCACTCTCCAAATGCGTTGCAGTCTGCTGCTGTTGCTGCTTCTGCCGGCGTCGCTGCTCCCGTTGGTAGCTACTTTTAGTGTAATCTCAACATTTGCTGCTGATGTTGCTGCTGCTGCATGTTGTTGTTGCTGCTGCTGTTGCCGCTGGCTTTGGTGTTGCTGTTGCTAATGTTGTTGCTACTTTGAGTGTTGCTGCTGCTCCTATTGTTGCTGTTGCTGCTGTCTCTGGTGTTGCTGTTGCTGTTGCTGTGGGTTCTTCTTCCAGCAGCAACATCAACTTCCTAACTCCCCCTCGGGACATTCCCCCCAAACCCCCCTCTTTGGAGCCCAACAACTGGTGGCAGCGCTTTCGTCGCTTGCTTTTGTTGTTGCTGCTGGTTTGGGTTTTTGGTTTTTGTGAAAACCAGATTTTTGTCGTTTTATGCATTAAATTGTTTTTACAGCCGCTTTTGGCAGCCAGAACAGGGTGATTTGTAAGCGAGGAATATTGACTTGTTGGGTGACAACTTAAGGGAATTTAACGAACTCAAGTAATCAACTTAATTTAAATGACTTTAATAATTTTACTTTTTCAAAGTGTCTTCAAATTATTAATTCAAATTGAAAAATACGTACGTTTAGATTCTAAAGCCTATAAAAACATAATAAACTTGCAAATGTAAAACCTAATTACATGATCTAAAATCTAAAAGTACAAATTATAGAATTATGAAAAACAAATATTTTAGATTTTTCCAGATTAAAGCTTAAATGAAAAAAAGGTTATTATGAATTGAATTTTTTAGATTAAATTAAATTGAATTTTGACACAAAACCTTTTATACGTCAATGGAAAATATCATTCTATAAAATATTCCCTATGATGGAGTTATAGGGTTGCCATTAGCTAAAAGTCCTGCCCACCCCCACACATCCTGGGACACCCTGTATGCCCGGTGCTCTGGTCTCCGTCGTCGTCACAGCAAAAGTAACAGGAATAGGAACAGGCACAGGAACCAACACACAACACACGCACACACCCAAAGGGAGGCTGGAATGGTGAGGGGGAGGGCCGGCGAAACGAGACAACAACCAACGCATTTACACAGATACAGATGCGGATACAGATACAGATACAGATACCCGCAGGATGAGGGAAATGGAGGGAAAGGTGGGCAGGATGAGGAAAGGGAAGGCAGGGACGAAGGAAAAGGCAGAGGACCGGCAACCGGGTACCGAGCGACAAACAGACCCATTGTCCCTCCCCCCGCCCTCTCCCTATTCGGCAGCAGCAACAACAACAACTACACTGCGAACAACGGCAGCAACATCGGCACATCAGCAACTTCAGCACAGCAGCAACAACAACAACAAGCGGTGACGACGACGGCCTACAATGCTGTACACTTCCTTTTACACACAGTGCAAACGCACGCTCATAGGAACAGTAGTCCCTCGAATGTTCAGCATTATTCTCTGGGAAATATTAAAACCCTGTGATCCCAATTGATCAAAAAAATTTTTTTTAATATTACCACAAATCAGGAATTTTTAAACAAATTGTATAATTTTTTTAAATCTGTAGGCTTAATTTATTTTTATTTTTTTTATGAAGGGATTAAACGAAAGACGAGGAAATTATTCAATTACTAATTAATACCTCCCGAAATCCGAGTCCTACTACTTTGCGAGTGACCACTGTACAATCACACAGGGATTTTAGCGATTCGTGTATGAGTGTGAGGCCTGAACCCAAACGCAAACCCAAACCCAAATACAAACCCATAAGCATAACCCAATGAAGCAGCCTCTGCCAACATACCAACATCATCATTACTTCCATCATCATCGCCAGCGCACAACTGTCGGCGATTGTTGTTGCTTAGCACTCGAGCCAGAAAAAAGGACTTCCCTTTCGCCCAGGACCTCTCGCCGGCCCTCTCGCTCACTCCGCTGGCGTTTCACGAGAATTATGACAAGGACTGCCAAAAATCGAGGCAGAACATGTTAAATAAAATAAAACATAATTTTATGCCAGAGAGCAACAAACACATTAACACGGTCGCCGCAGCGCAGTCGTCGTCGTCGTCGCCGTCGACGTTGGCGTCGGCGTCATCAATAAATCGCGACCCCAACGAACCACCCACAAGACACCCAGCCACCCAACCACCCACTGGAACCACCTCCCTACTCCCCGCCCAAAATGCATGCCCACCTCAAACATTATACAAAAGCTTACAAGCCACGCATACAAACGAACTCCGTTCGTTCTCTCTCTTTCACTTCGGCTCGCCCCGTCCCTTTCCAACGGCATATGGCCCTCTCTTTCTGGCTCTCTCGTGCTGTGCTCGTTTGTGTTTTGAAAATTTAATCTCGATATGGCAACAAATATGCTACAATTTCATTGAGATGAACACCCGATACCAGAAAGCCGACGAGAGTTTCTCACGCTGTGCCAAAGCGGCGACGTCGACGGCGAAAGAGATGGGTGTATGCAAAAAGAAAGAGATGGCACGAGTTGGAGAGAGCCCAGAAGCGTAGTAAATACACTACTACATTTTTCTGTGCTAATTGAGTGATAAATTGGGAGTGGATTTCGAGAGAGAGAGCGCTTGAGAGTGTGTGAGTGGGCGAGTGTGCGTGTGTGGGGCAATTGATATGCTCGGATTAAATTGTTAAATGTTTTTTATTCGGGTAATTAAAGTATTTCAATTTTGCGGCCTGTGTGGTAAAGGGTTGACAATTAATCAATCGGCGTTTTTTTTTTCGATTTACAAAGAAATTGGTTTGTAAAAATAAGGACATATTAAAAATAACATATCTATTATTTTATCTCCATAAACAAGAAATATTTATTTATTTTTTACTAGTAAGGCATAACCATAAATAAAAAATTTCGGTTGCCCTGCTGACATTTAAAAAACAATTAATCCTGCTGGCGCTGCACACGCCGTAAATCATTCAAAAATCAACCACAAATCACAACAATTAAGACAAATGTGCTGAAAAATCTACTTAACGCAAACACTCACACACACACGCATGCAGCCATTAAACGCTTTCAAAACAAACCCAATAAATGTCAGCTGCCCGAAAAAAGGTAGCAGAAAAGTATGATTTTGGCCGAGAGAGCATGCTGCCAACGGAGAGAGCGAGGAGAAAAAGTAGCAAAAAGGCAGTAGAAACACTACTACTACTACTACCTTTTTCATGAACCAAAGCAAGGGGCCCGCGAGGCGAAGAAGTCAAACAAATTGACATACGTATACATAATTATTATTTTACTTAAGTGCTCGCGCGTCGTCGCCCCTTAACAGACCGAAATGAATACGAAATACGAAATACCAGCCTGAAATAAATCAACCCGAGAGAGCGTACTGTACCGCTTCGGGTGCGCTCGGTCCTGCGCTTGTGTGGGTGAGCGGCAGCCATCGCCGCCGACGGCAGCTGCACATCGCTCAGTCGGTCGCCGGACTCGAAATCACCCTTTCTCTCGCACTCATTGCCAATATTGTTAACGGACTGATGCACCCGATAAGACTACCTTTTCTACCTTATACTACCTTATTTATTCTACCATGAGCTCAGCTGCCAACTTCATTCAGTTCCGTTCAGTTCCTTTCTGGCTGCCGTCGAACGTTGTCGTCGTTCGGTTGAATCGAATCGAAAAGCGCAGCTCGCCAAAAGCCAGGCCAAAACCTCAAAGCCAGGGCTCAGTGAAACAGTTATCAGAAATATCAAAAAAACGCGTAAAAGTTTTCGAAAAAAAAACATCAAATTTTTGAAAGTGGCAAAATAATTAACAAAACAAAAACCCAAACAAACCGCAGCACATTTTTTGGATTAAGTGCCACAAAGTTCCTGTTAGCAGCAGCAACACATCAACCACTTGGATTACTATAAACAACAGTATTATCACTTAAAACTAGCACAAAATCGAAAAAAATTTCTTTAACAAAAAATAATTTTTAAACTTCAACAATTTGCTAGGCAACCAAAAAAAAAACAACAACAAACTTGTGCAACATCCCAAAACAAATGTGAAAGCGTGACAAACAAACAAAAAATACGAAAAACAAATGAGCAAAAAGTGAACAAAAAAGTGAAAAGTAAGAAAGAGTGAGTGTTAAAAAATGCTGCAGTGAACCTTTTGAAAAAATTTCAAAAACAACACCAACTAATCAAAATATAAATCTACAACAACAGAAGCAACAACACAGAGAGACAAGTGTTGTTGTCCCATGTATTTGTTGATGCCATGCAATTGATTGTTGACAAAATTCCCATGTATTCCAAACAAACAACGAAGCGCAATTCCAAAAAGTAAGTTTCAAGAACCTCTGAAAATCTAAAAAAAAAAAAAAAGCACAAAAAACAAACAGTGAAAAGTGTTCAAACCAAAGCAAACAAACAAACACAGTTAAAAAACCCTTCAAGTGAACTGATAAATTGATAACAGCGGCAAAAGAGACAGCAACAAGCCGGAGGAAAAGAGATAGCGTTCCACAGCTGCTGCTGTCGCTTCTTCTTCTTCTTCACGTGGTGCACCTGTCCCACCCAAAAACAACAACAAAAGACAACAACAACTTTAACAACGAACAACAACAATTAATACACCACGCGCTGTTGCCATAAAACCCAAAAGAAAAAGAAAACTTAGGTAAAATATCTAAAAATAAATTCCACTTAAACCAAACAGAAACAAAAAAAATGTATAAAATCACAGCAAACGAGCCAAAAGAATTTTTAAACTTCAACTTTTCGTCTGTGTGCCTCTCATCTTGACAGTCAATAAAATCTGAATAGCTAAAAATAATTATCCACCTGGCTAAAAATAAAACAATTTATAAACACAAAGTACAAAAATTCTTTATGGCCATCAACAATTTTATTTCTTATCCACTAGAAACTTTTAATTGTTGTGCTTTACGAACAATCAAAAATATTAAATGGAATGTGCTTTTGTTTTTAGATATTTTATGTAAATTTTTTGTGTCTTATGCTTTGTTTGTTGCTTGAACCTTGTATACATAAATCATAAAAATAGTTATGTAGTTAAACTAGGTGATAAGTGTTGAGCAGAAAAAGTTTAAAATATTTTTGGGAGATAGGAGTGATAAATTTAAATATTTAAGAAGTGTTAATGTGGTCAGCAATTGTTATATTACATTTTGATTTTTATCAACAAGTTTTTTGTACATAACTGTCAAAACTTTTAGTTAGATACACAGTTGGGAAAAATAAAATTACAATTAAGTACCTTATTTTATTTTTTTTACATCTTTAAACTAATTAATTATAATTACATTTTTTTTAGTCAAGTCTTATAACGTATAAAAAATGGAAAGGTTTAGCAAATTTGTTAAATACAGATGGACAATTTTCTATACAATTTCTTTACTGAAAACACAAAAATTATTTGTTCATTTTCTGTGTGTTCCTTCAGAAATTTTAAAGAACTTCAACAAATTCCCCTATATTTTATTTAAATCCCTTGCAGAAGCCAAGTGCTCAAATTAAACCAATCGCTCACCAGCATTTTCTGAAAATTCATGTTATCCACTCAAATGAAATTCACCCTCGCTGCTGAAAAATTCATCCAGACACTTTAAAGAGTCAGCCAATAGATTAATTTTGACCGAATTCCCACATCAGCTGTTAGTTAGACCGCCTCCCATCGCCGCCCCCTCGACTGAGGCTCTCTCGCTCTCACGCACAGCTGACCCATAAATGACACGCACACAGCCAGGCACAGACATTCACACAGATACGCTCGCCAAAGTATCTGAAGAGAAGCCAAGAAAGCATTCAGTTTCGGTTTTAGTCGAAAAACATTTCGACCTACTGCTGTTGCTTTGTTTTGTACGCAGAGTTGAGTAGAGTAGGTATTCGTGGCCGGAGTTTTCCATTGAATCGTTCTCAAGAAGTGGATGTGGATGTAGATGTGGAAGTGGGTATATCGATACCGAGAAAGAAATTTTCCCAACGATCCGCTTCGTTTGCCCGAACAACCGAAAACAACCGCTCAAGTCTGTCACTTATTTCTCAGTTCGACAATGTTTTCGCCCATTTCTCGGGTGTATTCGTGTTTGTTGCCTCTTCTGTTTCTCGTTTCTGTTTCTTTTGTGGCAAGATAAAGGGGGAACCGAAGACGAAAAAAAAAGGTCACTCCAAGCGAGGCAACCTCTCCCCACACCAGTTTTCCCTACCATTTTCCCTCCCGTATCTCGTTTGCCGTTTTTCTCACATGCCACGCATTTTTCCCCAGCCAAACTCCCCCTCTTCTTTTTCCCAGACAATGGAAAACTCTCGGCAGACATTTTTTCGGTTCGCTTGTAATTCATCATCGCTGCAAAGAAGATGAAAGCAAAGAAAAAGGTACGGGGCTCGAGCATAAGAAAAAGAAAAATGCCGACCACAGGTAAACCTTAACCCATTTGCAATAGTCGCAGCTCTTAACCCAAAGAAACAGGTAGTTGCACTCGGTATAGGTCGTCGGTGTGTTCACAAGAAATCGGACACATTTTTGCCTATAGGTATCTAGAACCTACACAGCTCGATTGGTGGAAAATCATCACAAGTATGCGAATGAGATGGGAATTATCCTTCTAAGAAGATAGAAAGGTAAACCATTCAGCAAAACTGAAATACAACTTATTTGTTTCACTTCCGCTGAAGAAAAATTCTGGAGAGCTCTTCAAGAATGGAAATCATTGAGAATTCTGTGTTCGACGTAAATTCTTCTCTCATTTTCCTCAAAGTTTCTGAGCTGGAAACCACTACCACTTTGTTTGTTGATTTTACCAAATTTTCGAAGCATTGAAACAGTTGAAAATTCCGGTTTAGCAGATCAATCCAACGGTTAATTAACGCCCAGAGCTTATCGTAAACACCCTCTAATGTCATCAACCCACCACCGCCCCACTCCTTCAAAATGCTAAAACAGAAACTGCGTAAGCGCGAGACAATCATCAATCAACCACCGAGGCAACCAAATCACAACCCATCAAGCAACCACCGAAAGGACTTGAGAAAGATTGCTACCTAGCAGGGGGAATCCCTCTGCCATTTTCCGCTCCTGGCCACTTCCTGTTTCCCTCAACCGTTTGCGATTTTCACACGGGAAATAAAAATGTGATACAAACGAGTAAATGACAGAAAAACAAAACCTAAACGCGGAAAACCATTTGCAAATCGCAAAAGGCAACAACAACCCCCTTTACTGAAAGAGGGATAGCGTTCCGAATTCTCGGTGATTAAAGCCCGAAAGAAACAAACAGAAACATACACGGAACATTTAGCGAGGTGAGGAGCGTCCGATATTAATAAACCCATCAGACAGGGGGCTGGAAACTGAGCAACCCCCGTAACGAAATCCACACTCGAGGGCGCAACAATAGTTACATGTGTAAGCCGAAGCCACCCCTAAATCGGTACGGCTTTAACCCCTCATCAGCCCAGATTGAAGGTCACACAACTAGAAACAAGAGCGAGCGAGAGAAACAGCTACGGTGCATATCTAATCACACAATTTGAATTTGATTGGGCATTAATGGGTTAAGCAGTTGACTCTTGACTCGCCTCGGGCTCTTCGAGGCACCTTGAAGAGCCACACACTCCACTCCATTCAGAGTTCGTTTAGTCACATGATAAAAGTTCCCAAAACGCAACGAATACCGAACGAAAACATTTAACGACCCAATTAAAAGCCCCTGAACGAACCTGATATCAAAACTAGACCGTACCGAACCAACACATTCGCATAGATATAGTAAAATATATGCTTAGCAGCCACAACAACCTCACAGATAACTGCCAACCACCGAAAAAAAGCAACAATACAATACAATACTATCACTATCGATGGGCCTAGAATGTACACCGAAGCCCAAATCAGAGGTAACCAACTCTTATCAGACTTTGGTGGGGGGGACTGACAAGCTAATTATACCCGCAGATCGCACTGTATCTATATAGAATAACAGAAACCGAACCCAAACTACCATCGTTCTTCCGATTTTTTGTTTTGTTCGTTCAAAACAACAACTGGAACAATGGAAATTTACACTCTCTGAATTGGTCTACCTGTACGCTTTCATCTGCTTCTTTCTGCTCTTGTTTTTGGCCAACATTAAATCCCGCTTAGGTATGCAGAAATATTTCAGTTATCGATAATTGCTTATCGCTGTTTATGGCCAGGTAGTACCTACGTATAATACGTCAGTCTGGCCGCGTTTAGTATTTTGCGCAAAATGGTCGCTGGCTTTTTGTGAATGGAACGCAATCAAGGTGGAAGAAGAGTGATTGGCGAAGAATTGATTAGACCCGGGAAGTAACTGAGTGCAAATTAATATATAAGCCATATGTTCACTTAAGTAACAGATTAGTACACCATAATCTTTAACTTGACTAAACTTTGACAAGAACTAAGAATTTATTAGATTATTATGATTACCAAATTAAATAAAATTGGGATTATCAATTACAAATTGTGAAGATCATTAAACGTAAATGTACTTAGCAGATTTAGATCAGGTGGCGCCACCTGCTGGATGTATCTCGTGAGCAGAGCGCCTCTCTTCGCGCTTCTCAACATATCTAGCTAAGTCTCAGCCGCTTATCAATTGCCCGCTTCCTGTCCCAATTTTTCCATATCTTTCTGTCTAACCTTTACCGATGGCAAGTATTTTTAGCTAACATTTTCTTGTACCCATTATGTTCAGTTTACTTTGATTTTTGTTTTGTTTTTGCGGCTGTTATTTAGCTGTACTTCAGTAGACATTTTTGTTCGAAACTGGTTTTCAAGTACGACGCTCGCGTCGCTGTCGACGTCTCCGTTAGCGATTTATGCGTTGGGTTTTGAGACGCTTCAAGTTTTGCTTGCTGTTGCAATTTTCGTTTTGTTTTGTTTTATTTTTAATGTGATTTATGCATGCTCCTCAATGTGTGAGTGTGCAAAAATACTTGAACAAAATTATTGCAGCTTCTTTTTTTCGTTCATTTATTTTGAGGATTTCTGTTGTTGTTGTTGTTGTGGTTGTTGCGAACGTTGACAGTCGCAGCCTTCGATTTATTTTTAATGTTTATGTCTGTCCGATTGTTTATGATTTTTGTTGGGTTTTTTCTTACTTAATTGGCGATTAGATAAATGCCAAAAACGCAACGACGCCGATGACAATGGAATAGATCGCACTGAGTACTAAATCCCCTCTTCGTGTTTCTTTTTTTTTTTTTTTTTGCTTTGCCCCCGTTGACTGGCATAAATTTAGTTTGAGCAAAACGAGATAGATAAGATAAGCAAAGCAAAACCCGACTCGCCAGCAAATCGAACCCAAAACATCAGATCCGCAAACCGAAAAAGTGGCTGGGTAAGGTGTGCAAAACCACACCGCTGATTGATAGTCGCAGGGGGTTGTGGGTGGTCGGTGGTGCAAGGGGTTTTCTGGTGGTTCGTCCATTAGCGACCTGATTAGCGCGTGTGTTACAACAACCACAGCGCGTTTTGTTTGGGTGGTTTTTGTTATTTTTTTTAGTTTTTTTTATCGCCAACACGAGCAGACTTCAATAGCGACACCATCAGCCATCAAAACGATTTTGGTTACAACACCACAAGGACAAACTAGCAGACGACTACAAATACAATGGGAAACAACGCAGAAC